ATGAGTTGCATGTAAGTTGCATAATCCAAAGTTTTTCTGTGGGCAAATTGAATACTTGCCAAAACAAAATAAAATCTGTAGCCTAAATACAGCTTGTCGGACGTATGTCGGGGGGAAAAAAAAATTGTAAATCCCGTGAGGGATTACCAGAGGTCTACACGAATAGTCGAACATTCGAATATTTGGTCTGAAATTATTATTCGAATAATAAAAACACTATTCGAATTTTACTATGTGTTGATTTGCTGACCATAAATGCAGGCAATCCATGATAAATCCTAAGCAGTTATAACTAAATGCGCTGTGTGGCGCTGTGAAGCGTGTTAACAAGTTGGTAGTATTTGATCACAGAATGTCGTCATCTACGAAGTTTGGATTTACTTTGATCTAAATGATCTTACTAAATGAGCTGACAAAATGTAATTACATCTGATCAAATGAATTAGTGAAACTGATTTATCATAATATCACCACCACAATGAGAAATCACATGAAATCCAAACACAGTCGACTGAGGAAAGACAGCTGTCCATCACTGCATTCATGACTGCAGGTAAACGCAGCTGTACTCCGATTGAGTCGAGAAGAGAGCGCATCTGATAGCTAAATGATCTTGAGACATATATAAAGGTTCCTCGAGGGCGAGTGGTTTGACACAAAGTCCTAAGAAACTGTTAGCACGTTATCTTTGTCAGTGTGTTATTGTTATCAGACTGAGGAACAGACTTTCACCCGAGCATGTGGATATTATTGTTTCTCTCAGAATTAATTCGTGAAACAATGTAAACACAATAAAAATAGGCCGACTCGAGTATATGTAGCCAACGTTCTGTACTGTAATTAGCACAGTCTGCTTGATCTTGAATGCTTTTTTTTAATGTATTTATTTTTTTGTTTACACATGTTTTCAACCAAAATAAAACCTTGTGATATAACGTAACGTTGTTGTAGAACATTGTTGTGTAACGGCTAATCATAAGCTTGTTCAGAAATCGTGACAAAAACTTGATAATTCAAAATAACGTCTTTCTCATTAAACCTCATGTAAATAAACGAATATTCGTTTTTTTATGAGCCCTAATTTTCGAATGCAACATTTTTGGAAAATGCCCATCCCTAGTGATTACTCAACATTCACACGAGCCATGCGCTGAATAGGAGTATTTCGGAAAAATATCCCGTCTGAGACCAAAAAAGACCCATAAAATAATCACCATTTGCAATGTTTTGGAGAAATATCAAGATGGGGTAGCATGGCTAAGAGTTTCAACATATCCAATTTAATTTGCCACCTGAAAAGGCATCCAGAACAGCATGCTGCGTTCTGTGCCGCCTAGAAAAATATGCCGCCTCCCAGTGTTCCAACGCCTTCTGTGGCTCAGGTATTTGAAAGAGTAGCCTAAATAAGTTTACTCAAGACAGCATCAAAGCAAAAGACTTTACCCCAAAAATTATGGAGTTTATTGCACTAGACAATCAGTCGTTTTCCGTCATGGAAGACGTGGGGTTTTGGAGGCTCGCTGAACACCTTGAGCCACGTTACTCCCTAGCAGGCCATACTTCTCAGACGTGTGCCTACCAGACATGTACAATGTTGTAGCAGCGCATATACATGAGCTCTATTGATAGGCCTATTTTAGCCATCAGTTTTACAACATTTGGAGCTCTGATGTCAGCCCTACATGCATGCTTAGTTACACAGGGCAAAGAGCTTATTCACGACAAAGAGTTCGATAGAGTAGAGGAGTACAAATACCCCGGAACCATTTTTGATACAGCCTTAAAATTTTCATCAGAATACAGTGGCTATTATCAAGAAGGTTCACCAAAGAATGTTTGCCCTGAGGAAACGGGACTCTTTCTGTGTACAAAAATCTATATTGAGTGCATTTTATAATACTTTTATTGAGAGCTTTATTACTCGTACGTACACAGTGTCCAAATTCAGTTGGGACTGCAACCAAAAATTCTTCAGCAAGACGTTGCAACAAGGTGGAACAGTACTTTTGATATGCTGGAAGCCTCTTGGATCAAAAGCAAGCAATCGTGGCTTAGGCTAGTGCAGATTATGTTCTGCCCATGACATAAACTGCCCACCATTGGTGTTTAAATGAGAAAATAGTTCCTATTCTTTACACATTTGAGCAGCTAACGAGGGAGATGAGTGCATCTGGAGGATCTGCAGAGGATGTGATTCCATCAGTTGTTGCTCTAAAGCGACTACTGAGCAAGGACCTTGAAATTGACCAGGGAGTAAAAAAAAACACACAAAAAAAGCAAAGCATTTCACTAAAATTGACTACGAACCTCTTTATTGTATCGATATTGTGCGATCGCAACACTGAAAGACCCAAGATACAAAGATAAGATACTTCGACATGGACAAAAAAGCAGGAGAAAGCTCAACCTGATCTCCAAGCACAGCTGGATTTTAGTGACTAAAGTGCTGGAAAAGACACGGTGCACCACCCAGAGGATAACCCGATAGCCAAAAAGTCGTGCAAAGAAAATGAACAGGCACCCAGTCTGTTTGACATGTTCGACAAAGTTCTGGAGGAAAATTTATCACAAAGATTTAGGATTACCCCTACCATGCCACAAGCACTGACAGTGAACGATTGTTCAGTGCTGCATCCAATGTCTTGGACAATAAAAGAAACAGACTGCACTGTGAAAAAGCAGAAAAGCTTCTTTTTATAGAGAAGAACTTTGCCTCTGTTTCTAAAGCAGCAACCGTAATACTTGATAACAGCAAATGGACTGAATTAACGGTTCATGAATTTTTAAACTGTTATGCTATAATAGTTTAAATATGATTGTTGTTAAAAAGGAATGTTTTATTGCAAAAAAAAGAAAGAAACCTTTGAAGTTTGTCATGTCATATTTTAATCTTTATGTTAAACAGATCTATGTTCAATTAAAATGATTCAGTGTTCTAGTGTGCACAAGGACTGAATTAACTGTTCTTGGTTTTTAAGTGAAAACAAGGCAATGTTTTATTGCAAAGATATTTTTTTTTAAGTTTTCATATTTTTATCCTTGTTAAACAGATCTGATCTATGTTCAATTGAAATGATTTGATGTTCTGGTGTGCACCATGCTCAAGCGCTGACAGAAAACCATTGTTCAGTGCTGGCTCAAACATCTTGGATAAAAAAAAAAGAAACGGACTGCACTTTAGTGGGCGAAAAGCAGTCAATCTTTTTCTGAAGTTGCAAAATGAATACTGAATATATGTAGCAACAGCACTGTCTTTGTTACATTTATTAAAGAAATATGTTTTATTATATGTCAAATATCAGTTAATGTTGTTAATAAAATAAATATTGGATAGCACAAATCACTTCTGAAGACTGTCATGTTGTCTTATTGTATCTTTCTTTTTTTATCTTAATTTGTGCCTCTCTTAAAATATTGGTCAGTTGAATGTTAAATGGATCCATCCAATCCATGTTCAGTTAAATTAATTTAATGCAAAAATAAACTAACTAGTACTGTTTAGTATTGTATGCAAGTGACAAATATCGACATCGAAATCGGCAAATAGTTATTTGTTAAAATTGGTAGGCCAAAAAAAATCCTATCAGTGCATCCCTACACCACGCTTGCAGTCTTGCCCATTTGAGTGCACACGCATGTGAAAAGAAGTGTTCTGACTGTTATTGCGCTAACGTTCCTCTTAAAAATGAATGAAGTGTCTGACATACTTTCCTGCATTCAGAGAGAAGGCAAAGGTATTGATGGCTGACCATGCAGTGCAGAAGAACAAGGTAAGATTTATTCTTTTCAGGACTGACTGTCTATCAATGGCAAAGTCCAACAATTCATACACTGTCATCACACACATCAGACACTGGGGGAAGCAAGTGCTCTTCTATTCTACAGTCTGTTTGCACTGTTTCACTTCTCTCTTATGTTTGAAAGGTGTTGGGGACACAGATAAAAAGATTTTTCTTAAGAATAAAAATATGAAAACAAAAGAGTGTCACTGGAAGCACTTCAGAGTAACCCAAGAAAATCTTGGAACATCTAAATTATACTGATCTCATTTTATCCAGTTTAGTTTGTGACAGGATTTTGTGTTTATTGTTGATTAAAATGTAGAAGTACATTTATATCTCCCTGAATTGTTCAGTAGTCTTAAAGACATACATTTATGAAACTAATAACTTTATTAAATCATTCTTTATCACATGTATACAGAAATATGAAAATATTTACATCCAGAATAGTGTCTGTTGTACAAAGATCTTAAAATTTCAATATAAAAATTACATTTTAATATACATTTAATATAAAAAGAATAGAAATCAATAAGGATAAAAAGGTATAGCATGCTAGATCAGAGGTAGTTATATTTTACAATACAATAGCTAGCCTACTTTACAATCTGTAAAAGATCCAGACCAAGCTTTATTACAACCTAATCAAAACACTCGGTTCTTCTTAATCTTCAGTTTATAGCATGGACATGTTCAATATATTTCATGTTTTGCTCTACCTTAATCCTGTGGACTTGATTCCTGTCAAACATAGTCTATGCAAGTACATGAATGCAAATGCTTCTAGTTATGCAAGCTTGAGTTTAATGCAGCGTTTAATTCTGAAATGTGTTGCATTGCAAATTATTAGGAAAAATTTTAAATTTGTTTTAGTATGTTTATTTATTTATTTTTATATGTATTGCATTTTCAGAGTTGCTGTCATGTGGAGTATGGTATGAATTAGTATAATGTCTCCTATGGTGCATTTTTGCTTCTGTCATGGTGGAGCAACAGTTTGAAGAAGTCAATTAGTTAAAATTAGTTGTCAACATGTTTATAGCCAGCTACCTGAATTAATGGAACAAACACTTGAAGGTATCTCTGCCACCCCTCACGGTTTCTTACTGCCACAATGCATGCTAAATATATACATCATGAACTGGCGCTTGCAGAGCGATGACCAAGCCTTTTGTGTACTTGCAGAGAGTATGTTTCTGGCAATATGTTTTTTTTTTCTTTTCGTTTTTCAATACACTAAATATTATTTGACAATATACATCGGTATTTACCTTCCCATACTTTTTTGTTTATTCACTAGGGGCAAGTAAGCTAGTGATGACTTGCAAATAATTAACGAAACAAATAATTCATTGACTTTGATATATACACACTTGGAAATGAGTGCATAAAAGTTTGAGTACATAAGAATTTAGCTTGTTGTAGAGACATTTTTCACATTGAAATATTTAGATGCACAACTCCTGTGATATTTCCTAATTAAAGGAATGTCCCATATTCAAAACAATGAAATGCAATGCTCATGAGATGTGAGACCACTTTTGGTGGATTCGTTTCTGGTTATGCATTACCAACAGAATGTCTGTCATTGGATTTGTCTTTGTTTGACACTGTTTTGTAGATGCAGTGTGAATTTGAATTGTAATGCCGGTGCAGTACTTTGCCCCATAGGCGTCCATTGTATGTACATAATGCATGACTTTTAGTTTTTTGTTTAAATGGAGGGTTGAGTAAAAAAAAAAAAAAGTTTTATGTGAAAATCATCAATATTCCATGGATGGAGATGATATTAAACCCAAAACATTAATTTAAACCTAATTACACAAACAAGTTGCAAAAAATAAATGCAGATTTGTTTTTGAACATGATTGTTGCTTAAATTACTTAAGGGCCCACACGATTGTGTCACAAAAATGTGATTAGGCTTTTCTTTAAGAATGCCATGTAGCAGTTGGGACTGTATTCCCAAATTCATTGTTCATTAGCTCTGAAGATTTTAGCGGTCAGTTCATATGTGGGCTCATGACTTCTTGTGCTCAAAGGGTCCTTAAAAACTTTAGAGTTTAAGAGAAGACTTAAAATGCGGGATGTGGGGAGTGGTATACTCCAGAGAAGGAGGTTCCATTATGAGTGTCCAGTCCACTGCTCCTAAGGTGCTCCTGATCTTTGACAGTGAGTCCTGGTGTTGACCTGACCAGATTATCTGCAACGTTATCCCTTTCTGTTGAGGGTTTCATCTGCATCTGGCATGGGATGAGAGGCACTGAGGGTGGGCAAGAAAACCGGACAACTGTCTCCGAGTTTGGTGCCGATGAACTCTCATACGCTGCATCTGCTTCAGCGGCAAAGGACACCAAGGCTTGAGTGGAGTCATAGGAGCTTTTCTCTGTGTCAACAGAGATGAAGGAATCCAGGTTGCGGTCATGATGGAGGTGAGCTCTGCTCAAAAGCAGACGTGCATCTTCACGGAAGTGCGGATTAAAGAGGAGGTAGAGCAAGGGGTTGATGCTTGCAGGAAGAGGCAGAAGCACCAGGACGACTGATTTGACAACCTCCTCGCTCACAGGAAAGAGTCCCAGAAGGGAGGAGAAGGTGAGGAAGGCCACGGGGCAGTAGAGCAGGCAGTTGGTAAAGATAAGCCAGGCCACGTGCTTGATCATGGCGCAATCCCAAATGCTGTCAAAGTCTCCCTTCATCAGTTCCCAGTACAGTTTAATGTAAGTTCCGGTGATCACCAGGAAACACAGGGAGTTCATCATTATCAGAGCGACCATGAATCCCAATGTGGAAGGTTCGCCATCTGGCAGTGGTGATGGCATGCAAAGCGGAGTTACCCCGTACTCCCCGACTCCAATAAGTGGCAAAGTGGCGACTGCCAACGAAAGTGCCAAGCATGCCACTGCTGCGGCTCGCACGCTTCCCAGAGAGGGCGACTTACTGTAGGCTCGAGCGCACGACACGGATACGCTGCACTGCACTGCAGCCAAGGTCAGGAAGAGTATGGAGCCCTCCGAGGCTAGAACTGAAAGAAAACCTGTTGCTTGGCAGCCTGTACCCATTTCCCATTGAGCGCCATGCAGGGCGAACTCTCCAAATGTCCGGGCATCAACCAATGCCATGGTGCCAGTACACAGGCCTGTAAGCAGGTTGGTGCCACTGATGGTGCCGATGATGAACTTAACAGGGGAGAGATAGCTGGGGGATGCAAAGACTGTCATGAGGAGAAGGCTGTTTCCCATCAGCGAGACCAAAGAGATGAGCCACATGCCAAGCCGTACCACCCAACTGTCAAACAGGTTATCACATGGTTTAAATGGACCTGAAGGGGTGAAATTATAAATTAGAATTTAAGCAGAAAGAACACATCACCTTGAGGCCTATTCACACCAAGACTGAATTTTAGTATGGATCAAATGCACAACAAAATAACAAAGTTTAAATTTTTACGAATGAAGCACACTTTTTTGTGAACTTTTTCAGAACATGGCAGAAATGGGGAGATAGTAAATTATTTTGCCGCAAAAATACTTTGCGAATATATTGTTGATATAGAATATTAAAACAGAGAAAGATAATAGACCACATTTTCCTTGCCTTAAAATATTTTCTCTTGAGTATTTTTTAATACATAAAAATACATTTGACTACTTTAAATGTACTGAAGCACATTAAAAAAAAGTTGTAAATATTGCATTCTAGTACTTTTTTTTCCCACTTTAGTGGTCCTATTAAAATGCAAAGAGAAAAGTGACCCATCAAAAAAATCTAACCAGAATAGCTGTTTTATAAGTATTAGGTTATAGCTAAAACCAGCATTCTTTCTTTGTTATTTTTATTTTTTTAGTGTTTCTGGAAACTGCAACACTTGAAGTTTCATCAGAGCGTAATACAATAACGCTAGGGTGAAGTGTTTGGTGGAGAATTGGAGAAGCATGCATAGTTTTGGTGTGAAAACTGTTTGCTTGCTGTTTAGTTCGTTTGTACTTGATGTGAACAGGCCTTTACAGTCTTGATGGCATATGCATGACCTTGAGTTCAGATCTGCTGCTGGTTGAATTTACCTGGGATGGGGGTACACTGTATGCTGGTTTGCAGTTTGGACTCTTCAATAGCTAACTGGAATTCCTCTAAGTCAAGGTCATCTGCAAGTGAACACAAGAAAAGCATGAGACACCTTTGGTTTGTGCATGTACACCAGTATGATGAAACAGTCTTCAGTCTTCTTCAAGATGACATGATGCACTCAGAAGATAAATCACCATGTTATGGACATCTAGTCTGCTGGAACGGATTAATTTATCTAAGGGCTTTAGCACCACTCAACACCGTACACATCTCAGTTGCAACTTTCCATTTCTCCTTCAGTGTGCAATCAATCATCAGGCTTTGATCACATTCTGGTTTTGTTATTTTCCGATACGCCAAATGGTATGTTTTGGACCTTGAATTGTTAATGTTTATCTAATTTCCCATGGAGTGTAATTACGGAGAGCCCCTGTCAAGTCTGAAACCTGATCAGATCGCATCAAGGAATGCATGGAGAAAAGACACATTTTATTTCATCTGTCAAATACCTGCGGTTACTGTAAAGGCCCTGACATGTTTCTACTGTGCTAATTAAAGATGAAGAGACTGGCAGATAGAAGCGAGCAGATAAAAATAGACACACGCACACACACAAACTGTGGAAAACCGCTACAAGTGCTGCTTTTATGTTCCTTTCATATGATGTACGTGTTCGTGTAGGGCCAATGTTTTCATTTTTTGGCTACATGGACTCTGATAAAAGGTTTACTGTACAAACTTGAGTGACTTGCTACAATTCAGTATTGTAGTTTGGAAACTTGCCCCAATAATTTCAGCCTAACCAACTGGTTTCTTCTAGCTGTTTGTATGACCACCTCAGGGAGTCTACCTGTTCTCTTCAGTGCAATAGTATTAAAATCAGGGGTCCTCAAACTTCTGGCTAGTTTTGCTGCAACCCTGTTCAAACTGAACAAGCTAATCAAGGTCTTTAGGATTTCAAGAAAGTTGAGGTGAGTTTGGTCAAGGTTGGAGCTAACCTCTGTAGGAAAGTGGACCGTCAGGGCCAGGGCTGAGATCCCCTGATTTACTTGGTACTCCATCGGTCCAATGTTTGGACCAGGGGTGTCCAAACTTGGCTCTAGAGGGCCACTGTCCTGCAGAGTTTAGCTCCAACTTGCCTCAGCACACTTGCCTTGAAGCTTCTAATATGCCGAGAAAGATCTTGATTAGTTGGTTCAGGTGTGTTTAATTGGGCTTGGAGTTAAAAGCTACAGGTCAGTGGCCCTCCTGGAGCAGGACTGGATACCCCTGGTTTAGACCATTGGTCAACTTTTGATAGGTAGGTGTACTCCAAAGAATACCATGTTATAACATTGGTAAGTTAAAGGCAATTGTAATATTTAGCAAATGGTAAAGCAACTTTTTTTCAAAGTTACAAAAAAGTTGCATAATGTTATCCTGATCTGTGAGATGGCCTAGTGAAGTTGCACGACTTACAGTTGGTGTCGGTGTGAATGGGGAACAGGGACAGAGCTTTCTTCTGGACATCTTCCTCTTCACTGCCCATCTGTTCTTCCCACTGGCTGGCTGCTTTGTAACCTTTGCCTTTGCAGGCTCCAAAAACACAGCACTGATAGGCATATGGCATCTCAATGACCCTGTTTCAACAACAGTGACACAATGTATAAAACTAAAATAAAAATAATTTAATATGTTCCACCATTATCTTTATACCACATATTTTATGTTTACATCAATTATTTCTTCTGGCTTGCCAAATGAAGTTTGAGCATTAAAAACAAGTACATATTGCATCATTTTGAGGAAACTATAAAAGATCCCATTTCAGAGGGGGAAAAAAATCAGAGAAAGAATGATTCATCAATCTGCAAATGATGCATGAAGTAAACTAGCAAGACATCTAACCGCAAGGACTTTTTATATGTATTTGGGTCACTGTTGAAACTTGTGATTCCCTTTCATTTGCTTTTGCTTAATCGGTTGTTTTTGGGGAATGGTAATGCTTGAAACCTCCCATTTTTTGAGGTGCTAATCAAATCACTCAAGTTCTTAAGACTGAAGTTTTAGAGCGTCTCCAAAGCCCTGAGCTGCTGATGATTCGAGACTGGATATTTATAACAGCCTCTCTGTTTTACGAATACTGGGGTATCTTGAAATAATGTTTCTGCCTGTCAGATGATCTTGCATTGAGCCAGATATTCTAGGAAACTTAACAAACAGAAACCGTTTACTTGTACCGATGAACAGAATGTTCCTTGGGCAACAAATGATCTTAAACAGTAAAAAACTATAAACAGTTGAACGTTTCTCTGAAAACAAAATAAAAACTTCATGTGTTTTTAAGCTATTCAAGGCATTTGTGTTGTGGGAATTAATAACCACAAATACTTGTGAATTTTCTTTGATGGTTTAACATGAAAGTGTTTTAAGTCTAGCTAATCTGTTGTTATGAGATATCATGTGCCTATGAGGATGGCGGAGTTGATTGACTTTGTGGGGTTATTGGCTACCACAAATGTACCTTATGTTGGGGAAGTCCTCTTCTCTGAAGGAACGCGAGAGTGCCATATTTCCTTTCAGTTTAAGATGAGTAAGGCTTGTTAGCCCAGTGAGCGGGAGACTGCTCAATCGGTTCCCAGTGAGATCTCTGGATTGAGATAGGAGATACATTTGGATCATCATGTGTAAAAAAAAAAAATCACCTGCAGATGAAGCTACTCTTGAAGTACCAACTTAAAATGTCCCATATTGTACCATCACATAATTTTGTTTAAACATTTGCCAACATTGTGCTTTGGGGATCTTCTGTTGGAAATGAAGAGGTTCTAGCATCTATTAAAGTGAAATTAGTTACCCCATCAGACATGCTGTGGTTAAAAAGGCAACCATCACAATGAAGTTAACCATTACATTTTTGTAGTTACTTGTAATCAGCTGGCGTGTTAGTGATTTTAGTGGATGTATGAAGTCAGTTCTCATCAAGTTCACAGAGGTGTTCTACCAGAAGAACCACATGTGCAGTTCATCACATTGACTATAAATGTTATACACCGACATCTGGCAATATATCCAATATATTTCCATTTTTAAATATAAAATAAATGCAACTTGATTTAATATTTTGGAATTCAAACATTTTTAGGTCCAAAAACCTTTTGTGGCCACTACAATTATTATAATTTTTTTATATCAGTATTTTGCAATGAAGATGCCTTTAAAGCATTTTAATGGAGTGTAAATCCAATGGCACTTGTTGATTGGAGAAAGTTGTATTTAAACCGACATGTTTTGGCACACAGGCCTTGAACTGTTAACCCTGATGAAAACTAGAACGAGTCAGTTTAAATAAAACTCTACATGTTCCAGGTTCAATACAAGTTAATCTCTATTGACAGCATCTGTGGCATGCTGTTTAATTCTGCAGAAAATTATTGTTGCTTGTTTTTTTACAACTGAGGGACGAGTCAAAATTATTTTCTGTGGTAATCAACAGCATGCCATTGACGCTGTGATGGAGCTGTACTTGTATCGAGCCCAGTACAGTCAACAAATATTGCTGGTTTTGACTTCTCTACCAGTGATTTGCCTTTTCCATGCACATTGTTTGCTATTGAATTTGCACAAGGTCTGTAACTGTTGCAGTATGATGCTCTACTCATTCACCGCTGCACACATTTATCAGCCACACTCTGTCACTCTTTATCAGTCTTCCTCATTCATTCATCACATTCTTCACCTAATGCTGCTTGCATTTAATCACCTGTGACTGACAACTCACATCTTCACCACTGTGCAGAGCTCTTAACTGTGATTACAACCGCAGTCTTTTCACTTTGAGCCAACCAAAGCATTGCACAGATGACAGAAACTCCAAAATGTGCATCATGGAATCTCTGTGTTTGTGCAAATGGGATGGTTGCGCCAAGTCAGTTAAATAACAGTTTTTGAACAATTACACAGACATCTAGACTCTGAGGTGTGTGATTTTTATCTTCATGCACTGGCACTGATTTGCATTCATTATACTCACAGTTTAATGAGTGACTGAAGAGAGGAAAATGCATCAGGGTGGATGGTGTTGATCCTGTTCCAGCTTAGATCCCTGTAATGATTTATTTTATTTTATTTTTTTAAGTCTTGACAGCCAATATGAAAGTTTTTATTATTCTCAAGATTTGACATCTGAAAGCAGTCTTGCTCTCAAATTATTATTTAAAATGTGATTTTCTGGCTTTTGGTTGCGCAAGATTTTGGTTGTGTAGACTGTCTTGGCCGCTAGGGGGAGGTATTGGTGAGCCAATACTTAAAAACAAAACAAACAAAAAAATAACAAATATATATATGTCAATTAAAAACAGTGCATGCTCTTGCCAAGATATCAATATTCCCAAAAATGATCTCTCTCTCTCTTACATTGAAAATGTAAATAAAAAAATTAAATGTTACATTTTGAAAAGGTTAATGCTGAATATAAATATTTAAGATTCATTTAATTATTCTTAGGTCAGTAATCAAAGTCAATAATTGATTATGTGAACTTGATTTTTCAAATGCTCAATGCTTCTGTCATTAAAGCAAAAGGGGGTTCTGACAATTAAATTGTTCACTCAAATGGTTCTGCTAATATGATTTGAAATGAAAGTGTGTATTACGTTAGAAAAATGCCAAATAGAGGCTTTTTCAGTGTAACACTTACGGCCAGCAGAAGATGAGCATGTGTACAGTACTCACAGTGAGCGCAGAGAGCTGAGCTGTTGGAATGTGTTCATCTCAATCTGTTTGATCAGATTATGCTGCAGGCCACTGCCGAGTCAAAAAAAAAAAATGGTATTACTGCATCACACTCACACTCACACTGTGGCAGACATAATACATGGCAACCATGAACATACTTGAAATCTTCCCAAATATGGACACTGATGCATTGCTACAGTAATGACTGTCATTTGTCAAGTACTATGTGGGTTATTTAGGGCTCTTAGAGTTATCATAGATATGTTAGCGATATTACTCTATTCCTGTTGAGAGAGAGAGAGAGAGAGAGAGACGCCTGAACTCACATCTCTTGAAGAGAGGCACAGTGGTAGAAACTCGGCAGCTCTTCGATGGCATTGTGCGACAGCTCCCTGAAAACAAACACATATAGATTAGGACTGTCTATAAATGCAAGATTCATGAAGAGTGCTGACAGTAAAGACTGCGTAAAACATTCTCAACAAGACAAGACTTCTTTATCTGAAAAAGCATGAATAAATATGGAAATATGCAAAGTGAATAATACATTTTGTTGTAAGGGTACGTTTACATGACAACAATGCACTAAAAATGTTTTTCCTTTGCATTTTAAAAAAAGTTTTGCATACAGATAACAATGTTGTCAAAACAATCCCCGTTCACACCGTGAAAATAGCTAAAAACACTGTATTATTCATGCCAGGCCAGTAGTTGGCGATGCTACTTTGTAAAGATAACACTGCACGCTTGCGTACTGTACATACCTATAGATTGAACCCCTAATATGCATGTGCATGACCACCGTTTTCACAAATTCGTGTTTTCGTAGTTTACACACAGATGATAACGGTATCGTTTTCAAAAGTTTGCATTTTCAGGCCCTTAATGATAAAATGAATGGCCGAGTTCCGTCTTTAGTTGAAAATGGTGTTGTGTAAACATCCCCTTAGAATACTTCCTCTTCTATGCCGGCTTAAAGTGTAAACATTTTTCACGAAACGATCATTACACAGATAAATTATAGACTTACACAGTGAGCCTCAATGATAATGCTAAGCATTACCCATTAAGTCCCATTGAGGCAAGTGAGTCCTCATAGAGTCTATTTGAATGTAAAATGACCAAACTGTTTGTAAAGGTGAAGTTTCAATAACATGTTAAAAATCTGACAATGGTAGGATTTTGCATCTTTAGCTCAAATTAGCATGATCTCAAATGAGGGTTACAATTCTCCCATTTTTCTACACATGTACTATCTCTCCCTTATACTGTTTTTGAACAAACGTATGTATACATTTCTTAATGTTATTTATAATTACATTATAATTTGCCCTCCTAATTGCAAGTGTTTTTGTAGTCTTTATTTGTACCTAATTAGTGTATTAAAGTGTTTATGCAAGAAGAAACCTTGGAGAGAGAATAAGTGAATATATAGAAAAAGAATGGCATGTTAAGCAGCTACTTTCCCCAGAGGTCTAATTCTGCATTTAACAGTTACTTAAAGTTTCACTCGTCCTGCAGGGGTTTCTCTAACTAAACTTGTCCACCTGAAAGTGGTTTCTCTTATCCATCTTAAACCGAGTGCATAAAGGCAAAGCAAAAGGTAAAATGTGCTTGATCTAAAAATTAATCCAACGACTTTTTTAATTGTTTGCACAAGCATGGCACAACTGATAAAAAAAAAATTAGTAAAGTTGGCTAAATGTCCACCTGCTGAAGCGGAGCTCCTTGAAAGTTAGGCTACATCAGGCTATCCCTCAGGGTGAATTTCAACTCCCTTTGCCAGCTCGGATCTTTAGGAATCGTTTAGAGATGAGCTTTCAAATGTGTTTGTGTGTCGCAGGTGCGTATTTGTGTTTGGAAACTCACAGCACTCTTAATTTAGGCAGCAGGTGGCAGAGATCAAATGGCAGGCCGGTCAGTCCAGCTCGGGTCAGCGTACTGAGAGAAAATCAAAGAGGAGAGTTTACACTGAATGAGTGCGTGCCAAACAGGAGAGAGAAACAGTGAATGAAAAATAAGGTAATTAAATGAATGTGCATGCACTGCAATAAATGACTTTAAAACATGAAGAAACTGAGATGTATCCCTAAAACAAGGTTTGCTAATGTAAATACAACATTAAAGATTCTCAAAATATATGACATTTTTTAATGGAAATAAGACAAATCTCATTAAAATTGTGTCAAAAAGTATATTTTCAGTGCATTTCAGACCTGTAGGTAAATACAAGGCGCAGTGTAGTTTTTTCTCTCTCGGTTTTTTTCATAAAAAAATTTAAATATACTTCCATCTATCCAAGCTCTATAAACAAAGATGCAATGATTTCCCTGATCATTCACCAGTAAACATAAGTGCTCGGTTCAGTATGCCTGTGCATTTTTTTTTAACCTTGTACAAGACCCGCTGACATGGTGAGAAGTTCAGTAAAAGCATCTCTATTTTGTCAACGGTTATTCCTTTGTCCTCAACGGTGGGAAGAACTTCTGGAAGTCTCTTAAGTGAAACTGATCCTGCGTGAAATGGGGACATTTGATCTCAGACTCACAGAACTTGCAGGCTGGTGGTTCTTCTCGGTTTTTTTCATAAAAAAATTTAAATATACTTCCATCTATCCAAGCTCTATAAACAAAGATGCAATGATTTCCCTGATCATTCACCAGTAAACATAAGTGCTCGGTTCAGTGTGCCTGTGCATTTTTTTAACCTTGTACAAGACCCGCTGACATGGTGAGAAGTTCAGTAAAAGCATCTCTATTTTGTCAACGGTTATTCCTTTGTCCTCAACGGTGGGAAGAACTTCTGGAAGTCTCTTAAGTGAAACTGATCCTGCGTGAAATGGGGACATTTGATCTCAGACTCACAGAACTTGCAGGCTGGTGGTTCCTTTCAAATCTGGAAACTCTCGGATCTCAGTGGCCCCGTTCAAAGAGCTAAAACGAGATTAGATAACTCATTAGTGAGGCTTGTTCTGCTAATGAAGATGCCGTCCAGCAAAACCACAGGGATGTCTACTGTTACCGTACACACTTAGCGCTCTATCATAGAGGCAATATTATTCCACTTGATTCCATCATTTTGATTACACTCGCAACACTACCCAAAATCAACAACGGAAGACGGTAGACTTCATATCAAAGTAATGAAGGATGAACAGACCCTCTGCATTCTTATGCACTCTGTGTAATTGGAGAGAGATGAATGACTTTTTATTAGTTTTGTGAAATGCTAAATCTCATATTCTGGCATTTATGAGGTTATAATTGAATCGTGCTGTTTTTTTGGAGACAAATTACTAGTTCAATGTTTACTTATGAGAGACGTGGCTTATGAGAGAGGCAAGCGAGATTACAGTATTCATCAAATTGAAAGCGATGATGAAATGGAAATTATACACATTTGCCAACTGGTATTTTAGAGGTGCCTTATCGGAAGCCAAACTGCTCTGTTTAATCATGTGTGTGTTATCATTTCACACATAGACTTTTGTACTTACAGCGTGTGTAACTTTGGCAAGAACTGAAATGCTGATCTGCCAACAAACTGAATGGGATTCTCGTAGAAATGACTGAACAGAGAAGAAAAAGACATATTTTGTTAGAAATCGGATAGATCATACAAAACGAGTGCCTGTTCCATTTTGATATATTTACATTCTTTAAAGGGGTCATATGATGCGGTTTCAAGTTTTCCTTTCTCTTTGGAGTGTTACAAGCTGATTGTGCATAGATAAGATCCCTGAAGTTGCGAAGACTAAAGTCTCAAAACCAAAGAGATATTCTTTATCAAAGTTAAGACTCTGCCATGCCCCCCTAAAACGGCTCGTTCTAACACGCCCCCACATATCTACCTCACTAGGTGGAAATATTAGCATAATGCGCCCAAGTGTTCACGCAAAGAAAGAAGGCGTGGTTTCAGTAACCGCAGTTAGTGTTGAAGCAGCATGTCAGGGAGACGCTGTGTGTTTCTTGGCGAAAGCAAAAGCACTTTATTTGGCAAAAAATATATACTATTCTATAGACTAAATGACACCCTTTGACATACTTTAATGTTTTTTCTAACGGGGTTGAGTGTGATAGAGTTCACTTGCTAAAAGTCTGTTATTCTGATTTTTTTTTTTTAAATTTTAGCAAGTATTTTAAACACATTGTCAAATGAAATCTAAACTTGTTAGCATAATTTTTTTTATATTCAACATATAAAATGATAAATATATACAACTACACCTTGTACATTTGTGTTGTCCTTTTTTGTTCAGTAAGAATGTACATATTTGCTAATAGAGGGAGGAGAAACATATATATGTGTGTGTATATATATATATATATATATATATATATATATTTTATATATATTTATGGCACACATGTTGCCAGCAAATTGTAATCCGAAAATTCTAAACAGTCTAAAATAATTACGCGTGTAAAATAAACAAGGTTATAAGGTCCTTTTTGGGTGCCGAAAATAAATTCATCACCTTGGACAATCGAGTCCAGTTGCATTTTATCTCAGGCAAAGCTCAAACTCCAATAAGCACACGTGTGAGCCATTTGTTTGCGTCAATTCACATTTGCCCATGTAAACATCCTTAGTATCTTACAGAAACACCTGTCAGGAGGCAGTCCCACAGGCAAAAACACTTTAGGATACTTGAGAAGGAAGGACTTAAGCACTCATCTCCAAGCATCTGCTTTTTTCGGGAGACTTGTGCTTGAGAACCCCATTCTAGGGACTAAGCGGGATTTACAAGGAGCACGAGGCCAGGCCAAGCTCTCCACTTTAAAGGAAGCACACTGACATATGTATGCTGGGTAAGTTAGTCTCAGTTACTTACAGTTCCTGAAGTTTGGCGAGTGTGCGAATGGCCACGGGGAACTCCTGAAGGTCATTGAAGTTCAATTCCCTAGAGAAAGGAGACCAACCATAAGAGCAGGAGAACATTGAGAAACACAAGCTAAGAGAAAAGGATTTACATAATGTTTATGACTTAATAAGCATAGCTATGTCTACTTTTTAAGTTGTGTCTTGCATAAGACCACCTTTCGAACAACAATTAGCTGTCTCGTCACATATTAGCCCAACTGTTTTGACGTTTTCATTTGATCTTTCATCCTATGTGTCTGTAATATAAGCAAACACTTAAGAACTGTGGTTCCAATCAGTCCAAATCCCTCTCAGTGACCTTGTGGGTTTTCCGTGTTGGTCGTTCCTTGGAGACCAAGACAGCTGTTCTAAGCTAATCTGACATGACGTGACCTCTCCTCTGCATAGATTATTTTTGTTGTATGCATTTCATTAGCCTTCTAGGAAACCTGCGTCCAAAAAATTGTGCTTGAACCAAAACACGGGCGGTTGCTAAGGGCGAGCGGCCTTTACACGCAGGTGCAAGAACAATGTGTTTATGGCCATAGTTTGCATGATGTTTTCCTTGGATCTCAACGTTCCTTTTCATCTCCAATTCTTTTGGAGTTTTTCAGAGAATAATTATTGGGAAAATCCTATAACTGAACAGGAGATTATTATAATTTTTTTCACAAACCCTCCTTTTTGCCCAGTAAAGGCGACTGGATGGCATTAATAGGTGCCTTTAGCCCTGTATCCCCTCGTGAAGGCCCAGGCCTTAGTCATATCGTCCGCTCCCCGCGGTTACAAAACCCAGCGCTGAATGTATCTCTTCATATCCATAATTATATGTCTTAGCCCTTTGTGCTAAGTGTACGCTTTCAAAACAGTTCAAATGTTTATATATTTTAGTTTTTATTCTTTTTTTAAGGGGAAAAACTTGAACAGGAGATTATTATAATTTTTTTCACAAACCCTCCTTTTTGCCCAGTAAAGGCGACTGGATGGCATTAATAGGTGCCTTTAGCCCTGTATCCCCTAGTGAAGGCCCAGGCCTTAGTCATATCGTCCGCTCCCCGCGGTTACAAAACCCAGCGCTGAATGTATCTCTTCATATCCATAATTATATGTCTTAGCCCTTTGTGCTAAGTGTACGCTTTCAAAACAGTTCAAATGTTTATATATTTTAGTTTTTATTCTTTTTTTAAGGGGAAAAACGTTTCTGGCAGGTGGCCAGCGCATTTGAAGTGAGCTTGGTGAATAGGGGTGGACCCACGTTGGCTGCCGTCCAGAATGTTCGAAGCACTTGCTTAATACCAGTGTGTGTGTGGGTGTACGTGTGTGTGCCTATATGTGCGTGAGTGTGTCTGTGTTGCACAAGAGTGTTAAAGCGAACTGAACTTGGCCTATAAGTTTGAGGTGAAAAAAAAACTATTTAAGGGGATTGTTGATGTATGACAAATTCGCTTAAAGCTAAAGTAATTTCTGCACCATTAGCGTCACCAACGAAACTGCAAAAATAAAGCATTTTCAAACATAGTCCAACACAAAGATAGCCCCGCCCCAAACTCGTGCCATTGGTTGAACGGGTGTTGGCGGGCTGCTTGAAATGTTCAAAAAAACAGCATCAACCTATGAATGGCTTACTTGTACACTATTGAAAAATTAAGGTCATGTGTGTGGGTGTACGTGTGTGTGCCTATATGTGCGTGAGTGTGTCTGTGTTGCACAAGAGTGTTAAAGCGAACTGAACTTGGCCTATAAGTTTGAGGTGAAAATAAAAACTATTTAAGGAGATTGTTGATGTATGACAAATTCGCTTAAAGCTAAAGTAATTTCTGCACCATTAGCGTCACCAACGAAACTGCAAAAATAAAGCATTTTCAAACATAGTCCAACACAAAGATAGCCCCGCCCCAAACTCGTGCCATTGGTTGAACGGGTGTTGGCGGGCTGCTTGAAATGTTCAAAAAAACAGCATCAACCTATGAATGGCTTACTTGTACACTATTGAAAAATTAAGGTCCCAAAATGGGGATTTCACACCAATGCCATAGAAAAAAAATTGAGTTCACCGATTAACCTTTCAGTGAACAGTTCTTAAATGAACCATTGTTTCACAATGTGAAAAACACTTAATAATTCAAAGAACCTATTTCCACTATGAAGAACCTCTTGTGGAATGGCAAGGTTCCATGGAAGGTGAAGGTTTTCATGGAGCCATTGATGCCAATAAAGAATTTTAAAAGCAGCACTTTTAAACAATATGAGCCATTTAGATTATATGAATGTGAATGAACATCGTTTTATCCGTTTGCTCACTTCTAATGAGTCATGCAAGTGTTTAAGCAATTTTCATCAAACGCTGCATGAAAATCCACTCGCACTTGCAGCCTATAAAATGGGCTGCATATGGAGAGACTGGGAACACGCTGCTGTGGGCGAGCCGTGCCGTGTGGTTCTGCCATGTCTACATCCTGGTTTTGTTTAGAACATCCATCAGTCTTGTTTGGAGACTTTACTTTGATATGGCAGAGAAGAGGAATGCCTTTCGTTTCCTAGGAAGACCTCATTGTTTAGAACGAGAGCTGTCAGTTACCTTGATTTACAATTCGTCAAACCACGCAGAAGTTTGTTTGAAAGCTAAATCATCAGGCATCATAACAAAACAACTCTGTGGTGGCCATTTTGTCTGATGGTTGTGAATGCGTTTTCAGAGATAATTACAGTGATGGGGATTATAGTAGCATCAATAAAAAGATGTGCATTGTCCCACGAAAAGATGTCTGAGACCTTCTGAAGGAGGCAAATATGTTTCCCTCTGTTGTTTCAGGAAGCTCAGCACTTCCCAAACACACATGTGCATCTGAACTGAGTTGGCTGGCATGCTTTCTTCCAGTGTGTCATGTTACATTTAAGAATATTTGCCTCAGGAATATTAGTTTCTTGCTTAGCCATCATTATAACGGTCATTAAAATATAATTCAATATGCAACATGACTACTTATTACAGTTTCTGGGAGCTTTTTTTTATTTTATTAGCGTGGAATTTTAATTGTACTGCATACAAGCGTAATCCTTAGAAAATACTAATAGGTGACTTATTCATGTTGTACAAGAGTTTAATGTACATAGGACTCTTAAAATGTATCCCCTAAAAAAATGTTTTTCATATTGTTTTTTTTTATTATGTACTCCCCTCAGCCCAGATATATATATATTGTAATAAGTCATATTTATATATTTTATTAAATTATTATGTTATTATATGTAAGCATACTGTATTTAGTATAATTGTTTTCTGATTTAACGAAGCAAGAAACTTGCTTATGCACATCCTGATTGAGAATCACTTTCCTTCTGTATCATAACTAATGTTCCTATCACTCTACATTGTATCATTTTCAAGAGCTTAAATCTAGTGCGAGAAATATTTTCTCCTTGAAACAAATCTTCTTAAAGGTAAATTTATCGAGCCACACAATTGTCAAGGGAGATTTTCAGTGCACGGTTTCTCAGTGATTGCTTTCAAATGAAGTGTTCAGTTCAGTGTGTGCAATTCTCAAGGCTGAAATCCTTCACGTAAAGAGGAAAACGTCATCTTTAGCACTTCAGCAGGCTGTTAAAAAGCAGGTGTAAACCTCTCGGTATCCTGGAGACCACCATGACTTCAGCATATGCTTATTCCTTTAAAGCCAAACTTTCATAGCATGGTCTATGTAAAGTCGTTCATACATTACATTACAAACATGCATTGGCTCTGGTTCGTAAGCCCCTTTCAAAATTTCTCATGAATTTTATTAGCATTTCTAGTGTATTTATTGGGCCTATTTAACATTTGATGCAATCTATCATGTTCAGAAACGTATAAGTTATATAGCCTGAATTCCGGCAGAGAATGTGCGCTATTGTCCAGCTATAATATGAAAATTGTAGCCAGTAGCCATAAAATCATGATGTTTTTAACTATATTTTTCACTAGTTTTGTTCATACTCATATATTAATATAAATTTTATTATGTTTTTAGATGCAGACTGTCAAGTAAAATGCCGACCGTCAGTTAAAATTTGATCCAGCCCTAATATAATATAAATTCAACCACCTCTAACATGGGTCAAGCTATTGACATTGCACAAAAAAGTAGGCAGTGTAGTGATATAATCTCACATAAGTATTCAGTACTTTTGTACTGAAAAGTATTCAACTTTTGTCTTGAAATCTGATTGTTACATTATGAATGGAAATTATATCCCATTACATTTCTGAATGCTGAATATATGAAGCTATGGGACAAAGGGAAGTGTATTAAAAATATTTGTAGCCTGTAATACCAACATCAACCACATGATAACCAAAACCCGTTTCCACACTGCTTACACATATACTTTTGAATGGAACACTGAAGAAATCACCCAACACTGAAGTCATTGTCAGGACATTATCGTTGCTTCTAATGAAAGTCTGCCATACTTTCTTAAATTGTAATGAGAGGTAAGAGTGTTTTTTAGAAAACAAGGTGCTGCATTTAATATGTGCGTATCTGAACAGCAGAAGTATTGTGTAGAGAATGATTTGTTTATAGTTAATACAAAGCTGAACCACTGAACATAAGTAGAGTCAGGATAGTTTGCTAGTAATTTTGATTTATATTTATAGACACAGCCCCTTCCTTAATGATTCCGCGAGGACACCGATATCAAATAACAGATCAGGGTTTGTTTGCATTAAGAACAGGACATGCTTTCATGTTTTTAATCTTTCATGAAGGGACGATCTTACTTACAGAGTCTCGAGGCTGTGCAGTCCCTCAAAGCAGTTCTGTCCGAGGGTCCGGATCATGTTGTTATGAAGATGCCTAAACATGAAAACATTCATTAGGATTATATTAGGCATCAAAACAAACCCTAGGAATGATACCTGCTTGGCTGTGTACATTGCTTCAAATAAACGTAAACCGGTGGCGGATGAGGTATACAATTAATCCAGACTATCATTTCACTGCTTTGTAATTGAAAGAGTTTAAGATTCTTGTGGTGTCCTGTCAAAACAGGGCATGTGTTCCAACTTCCTCTTATTTCCTGGTTTCCGATCCTCACACTGACACATGCACAATTGTCAGTGTGATTTAGTCAAATAGGACATGGTCCTGGATCAAGGTTTAGGATAAAGCTTAAGGTTGGGGTTAGGGGCTTTAAGAACATTCCTAATTTCCCACTCTGATCACAGGGACTGGATATATTTTGGGGTTAGCTAATTTGCATGTTGATCCAGGAACACATTCTACTTGGTTTATTCATGTTGTGTGGAAGTAGATACTTACAGCACAACCAAGTTGGAAAGGTTCCTGAAGGCATAGTCTGGGATGTGGGTGATGCGGTTTAGGGCAAGGGTCATAGCCTGGAGCGAGGAGAGGTCGTTGAGGGCACTTACTGGGATCTCTGTCAGGGCATTGTCATCAAGCCACAAGTGTCGCAGGGACCGCATACCCGAGAGGGTCCTTGCTGGCACCTCCATAATCAGGTTGGCATCCAGACGCCTGTTTTTATTAGAATGAACAGAAGCAGATGTTTATTCCTGTAGACAGTTTATGTACGAAATTTAGGAGAAAATGTAGTCTTGTTCAACCAGGTGGTTAAAATTTTAACCTCAAATATGTGCATTGATTTCATGTAAAATTAGCAGGAGATATTAGTGAAAATTAGCAAAATTTTAAGGCTTTTACAGGACTGGTGTTATAGTGCTTTCCAAGTAGAAAAATCACTGAAGGAAGTTTTGGAACCTGTGTCATCAAGACACTATACACTACCCACCCACCCACCCTCCATAAACATATACTTAATGTTCTCCACTAGCTTTTTTATATTGAGGCCTGACCTGTTGTGACTCCAGCCCCACAGTGTTTGTGACCCAGTCAATGGCAGCACTCCTTGTCCATGCAGTGTCCTGAGACTTGAAATTGTCCAGTGCGTAAAAAAGATGAAGATAGGAGCCACCAAATGTGGCTAAACAGAAAGAGATACTGTGCTGTGGTCTGCGGTCACAACATTTCTGCTTTGACGATATCATAATTAAAGCATACTTTTGTTGCCTCTTTGTTTTTATCTTTTGTTCTTCTGGTGTAAGGATTGGCACCACTACCTGGGTGATTTAGTATGCATATAAGTGATTTATATGCAAGTGTTTTATAAAGCTATCTTTAGTTACTCCAGCATGGACTTGTTTAATGAGAGTTTTGGCAGGGTCGCCGCTCTGAATGTTTGATGAAACACCGGGAGCCCACAGGTGGAGTGCTATGCTTTGTGGATTTTTACATTTTTAATTTAAAGCTTTTGGAGAGGGGTGCTAAATCACAACAAGTGCGTTTCAGAGGATACAAAGAAAAGTTGTGCAATCACAGACCAGGCGTACAAGGGCTGCCGAGGCAAAGATTCCATTCTCGATCCAACCACTTGAAGGCGTTTTGAAAATTGGCCATTCCTCTTTCATTTTTCCTGCGCTCATATGGTGTAATAAAGCACAGATTGATAATTTGATGACTTTGCGGCATGGTGAGTTGATTTGGTCAAAGCCACCAAGCAATTGTTGCTCCACACTGACTGGAAGGCTTTAAGATGCTATTGAACAGTTTTTCTCTCTGATTTTTGGAAATTAAACAAAGAAACTGAGCTAAAGATAAAAGCTCTGAGAAAAAAAAAACTTCAGAGGTTGCTGGAAATAATTGATAGTGCAGATGTTTGGATTCTTTCACAAATCTAAATCCCAACCCCCCCCCCATTTTTTTGGTTTTTCTCAGACCTTGACATCTCCACAACCAAGATGAATGTCCTCCCTATGTCAACAAGTTAAGCCTTTGATCTAATGAATGTTGCACCCTGGATTCAGTGGATGAGGGGTGTGCTGAACATCAGTGATCAGCGAGTCATGATGTATGATAGCAGTAGAGCACGTGAAGTTAGCCACAAGCACTTCCTCTGCATTTTTCCCCCATGACCTTTCACACACATTCATTTTGCACTGGCCTCTCCTCATGTCCCCTCTGGCCTCCTCAACCCTCAAGTCCTTCAGATGAGGATAATGCACGATGAGCATCAATAGAAGAGGAACTTAAACCCAAAATACAATGCTATTTGGCTTGGAAAAACTCCTGTATTCTCAGACTACACTTTCCATGCTGTGCAACCCTGCTAGGTAAACACCAATGTCTTGCTGATGACATCTTAATCATCTGGCTTGATAGGCTTAAGACTTGAAATTGCATGTGTAAACATTGCTTTTGCGGTCTCTTTTGTGTGGAATCTCATTGGTAGGCATCATATGATCAAGGGGTATTGCATTGCCTCTGATTTAAGGAAGGTGAGCCTTGTTGCTTAGCTTTTACTGGATCTTTATCAGATCTTTCTTTCATAGACTAAATCCTGGAAGGATGGTCTTGACATCAAAGGATGCTCTGTGCTGAGTGTAGCAAGTATAGCCTACAGTCCTAAACTCTGGTAAAGAAACAAAGATGAGTTTCATCACCAATCCTCTGTCCTGCCCCAACTCATCTTCTCTCTGTCTACATCGGGCGCCAGTGGACTTCAAACCTTATAGCCCCCCCAGTGGTTAACCGATCCCCATCTTATCATTACCCTAAATTACATGTTTGTTGAGAACTAAATGCCTTTCTACTCTTGTGGGAACTCAGGATAGAGCACCTAGCCGAATCACTGCATATTCGTTGTTATGGGGGATTGAAAGTGAGCGTAAGTTAGCTGGACGAATGCCAGAGTCTCTGCCTCACTACAGGGAGGGCCTGGACACAGTCTATGCACGTCTGGAGCCTCTTCTGGAACTAGGCATGTCTTCCATGTGGAAAAAACTGTTGGTGGCAAAGGAATTAAATTTGTACGCCATGACTCTAATGAAAACATCCTCACAAAGGTAGAAGGAAATGAGCGCATGGATATTTACGTGGAATTATTCATTTGGAAAAAGTGGGTGTGCGGCTCCGCTCCGGGATGCTGACTGGCATCAAGAATAATTAAAAAGGAGTCGAGGGGTGGATGTGAGTGGAGCAGATGGACAAGGCCAGACAAAATACCAGACAATATTTAGATTCTGACCTTTTCATGGGGAACCAGTTAGGAAGGGGGCGTGATTCCGATTAGGAGGGAAACTTTGGACATAAGGGAAGAGGGTAGAGTAACTGATGGAAAATTGGGCTCTTCACAGCTCATTGAATATCCCAGCGCTCACTCAGGAGCCAGTGCACAGTGTCTGGCGGTTTCCTCATGGGTTCCAGATGCGCCAACAGCCCACTTTTTCACCATTCTGATATTAAATGTGATGTTGTCACATTTGTCGTTATCGATGTCGTTTTGTCTTCCTCAAGAAGAGTGGCCTCTGGAATATCATATTAGTCTCTGTTGTGAGTTAGCATTTAGATAATAGCTCTCAGAAAACAAGTATAAACCCAGACCCACTGAATGCATTTTAAATACTGAATTGCACAGACCACACAAAAACTACTATGAGTTTTGTTACCTTTTCTCGGTTCTTTATTTGTTGGATCTCCTCTGCAAAGAACTACATGGCAAATTTTTTTGTGATCAAGAATAAAAAAAAAATAAAATAAAAAATCCACAACACAAAAATGTGTCTCACTATTATACAGCCAAAGAACACCTGTTTTACCACTACCATGTGTGTCCCAAATTGCAAACTTGATCCTCCCTGGTGGGAAGTTCTTTAATGAAGGGCCTAATGGTCCTAATATATATAAATATAAGGCATATACTGTAAATAACTGGGCTTTCCTGCATCAACTCTATTAGAGATAAATGCCAAGAGTTACTAGATTGCACTGTGGACCAAATAACCCTACTGCTAGAGACCTTATCTGATAGAGGAGTGCTAAATAATTTATTGTGTTACTCGTGCTGTGCTTATGATATAATATTTGATACATGATTCTTGATAATGTAAAATGTTTCTGAATGTTACTTTAGACTTCCTTTGTTGGACAATGGAAGCATTTTCTAAGCAGAATAACATTTCACATGAGACCAATCATTGAATCAAGTGAATCCATTTTATTCCAGCTGTTAAGCTTAAAGCTGTGGTCACAACCAAGAGGTCTACACTTGGCATGTCGACCTATCCAGTGTTGCTTTAATATACACCATTGTTTCATGTAAATCTCTAACAGCCCAAGTTTGCTTTTGATCACTTGAACTATGTGATACTTACAGAGAGAGTAAATTGGGTAATTCCCATTGGTCTTCACTGGGCAATCTCTCCAACTGGTTATTCTGCAACATCCTGTAAAGATACGGTAAATTAAAATTAGAAAGATAATTAATTTTGCTTTGGTAAATAATAAATATTTTGAAACACAATGTGATTATAATAAAAATAATAGTAATAATAATAATAATAATAATAAAACCAGTATTATCTCAGTGGCAATGGGTGGCCTTCTCTTTGTATTAAGGAAATGTATTAAAAAAGTTACCACTAGTCAGTTCCATATGTGTCTGACGTGTTTGGTATAGTTGAGCAATAAAGCAATTTTGTTATTTTATTATTATATTTTTTTTAATAGAGCATGTCAGTATGGCCCTTGGACACAAACATTGTCCAGCTTACTGCTGATGAGGTTACCTGTCGCTGACATCAATCAGTCAGGAGATATGATTTCAGGTACTGTGTGGTGCACTTTTCAGTGGACAAAACCCGAACATGGGAGGGGCAGAGAGACTGAACAAGACGACACAGAATGAGGGGGGGACTGACTGGGTGGGCCACTGAGGTCATGCTCACAGGACTCGTCGAATAAAAAAACGAAAGAAAAAGTAAGTGGTAGAACAATGTCACTGAGCTCTTTGAACAAAGCAAATTATTCCAGTGTGAGAGCACGCGGCCACATACGTTGAGTTTTAATTACAAGGCAGACAGCTTTATCATGTCAAATCAAATTAAACTCCTGACATTTGACCACGCAGCAGAAAATTGCTAATGTTTGAAGGAATAAATACACCTTTGTGGGCAGGATGCCCTTATCAAGGAAATCATGGCTCCACCATGGCCATCTAGACTTAAAATGTCCAGCAGTCTTGATATGATGCTGTGAATAATCCTCTATTAATTTGCCATTCAAATGCCACAAAGTATGTATTCATTCCCCCTGTACTTTCACTTTTGCATGGCATTGTCATATTTTCACTAACATATGTTTTTGATGTGATATTTTTGTTATGTTTTTCCTGTAGTTTTAGGCTTTGGTTTACGTATATGCTTTGACATTTACATGTGATTCTGACTGGCTCATTGAAAACTGAACATTAGATAAAATGTCAGAAGGTCAGGTACTCGGGCCTCAGACAAGTTTGGTTGTTGAATAAGATACAATAGGGCACATAAAGCAAACAGAGAAATTCGTAACTATTGTTATACCCAACCCAATTCCTTTTTGTCTACATTGACCACTGAAATAAGATCTCTGACAATGACAGACATTATCTTGTTTTCAAAACAAGCAAAAACATATTAAGATATTAAACTGAACTAAATTAAAATCATGTTGTCATTATCCTACTAAAATGTAAATCTAGCAACAGTTAAAGAAAACTTGTTCAATTATTTTTATTACTGAAAGGTATTGGCTGATGATGGAGACATGAATAAGATACATGAATGTATGAGTCAATAATAGGATTTGATGTGGCAGGGCAATTTTCTTGTGGTGTGTAATACAAAAAAAATCAGTGTCACTGGGTTGTTGAATTACAATATTGGGGCAAATTTAATATATCTTCCAGGACAACATGGAAAGGTGCATAGAATCCTATGTGGAAATTCTGAGATGTATGTTGGCCTGAATTAAGTTGTTCCATGTCTGGCCTTTGTCTGTCCTGTTCCATTCCATCAACTGGGTTTAAGACAGTCCATAAAATAAAAATCTGTCAATAAACCATCAGCAAACACCCAGACATAAAGAACAGCTCACTGACCATTCACCGCAGAGCAAAACCTGAATCATCACCTGTCAGAGGTTCTGTTTCTAATTTTGCAGTAAATGACACTGCAACAAAAGTCTTTTTTCAGAATGAATCACCCTGAATGTTATTTTCCATAGAAGCATTTACTGAAACAAAAACGCTCTCGCTCTTTCTGTCTTTCATTACTTACAGAACTTTGAGGTTGTAGAGGCCTTGGAGCACGGGGCCAGGGATGTGTCTCAGGTGGTTGCCCGAAAGTCTCCTGTGGAAGGACAAAAGTAGTCCATTTGCAGTCCAACACATTGATGACTTTAACAGAGAGAAGAGAATCTGGTGAATTCATAAAGACGAGTATGCATGCGTGTGCAAGAGCTCACGGTGAAAACAAAAGTGAGAGATCTCATTGGACGCAAGAACCACAGCAGCTGGGGTTCAGATCTCTCTGGCCGCTGGTCTTTACCGCTCATGTACAGAAATCTCTCTTTTGTATGGTCTCCAAACACATCAACACATTTTGAAAGAATATGAATGCACTCTAAGCTCCTTTTGCCTCCCGTAGCAACAAACATGTCATAGTACAACTGAATTTACAATGCCGAAGATAAATTGGTTAGAGTTGCTACTGAAGTGGAAAACGTACGCTTCAGTATATTGTTAGACATTGGTATAGTTTGAGGGCCTCACGGTTCAGTCGGGGTGCAAATTATGGGAGTCTGATGTGTGTACTAAAATGCAAAATGGTGTTTTCAAACCAGACTATAATGTAGTCAGAGCACATAATGTCACCTGATGCCAAACAGACAATCTTAAACAGAAATTATGTTCCACTGAGGTAAGCATACTATCATTATGCATTCAGTGCCAAAATCCAATTTTAGTTATTTTAACAAATCATCCCTTTAAATTATCTATCAAAATTTCAGTTGACCCCTTTAAAAATCACTGTATAATGTGCAAACAGCTCTGCAGCCAAGCAGAGCATCATGGCTGATACCTCCGAAAGTAAGTGAGACATGGGTAAGACGTTCCCAGAGAGAGTGAGAGCAAATATCAACCAGCTGTAGGCTCACCCATCTAGACTAATCAATTTGTTTATCAAACAGATCACTTAAGCGTTCGTGCCTGTTTTTTTCCTGGGTGGCAGAGTTTGAGGAAAGTCTGTCGAAGCCTCACAAGGAGTCCTGACAAGCTAAACAGGACCACCCACACCTCCTAACTGCTTTGCCTCAAAGTTGCTCCATCCTGCCGGAGTAGCCTCAATCTCCTCTTGTACTCCAAATGATTCTTTTTGTATGACAAGATGAAAGTTTTGAGAAGTGCTGCCAATGTTTAGCATGTAAGTCAGCTTAGCTAATGTGATGGGTGCGACTGCTCTGGCAAAGCAACAACCGTGTTGTATACAGGCACATTGAGGGCCACACAAGCCCAGAAAGCAGAATGACAGAACCCAGAATTGGGTCTATGTCAAGGTCTGACAGATCACACTCTCTTATGCACTCACACACACACACACTACCGTCTTCTGCCATTGAGCCATGAAGTCGCTGAGGTTTTTAATGGCTATCACTTCATGTTGTGCCAGACCACACTCCCATCCATCGACTCTATTTCTGGTAAGAACATGTGCCGCCACTCTTTCACAAACATTTGTTTTGCATAGGGCAAGAGACAGAGGGAAATAAAGCAGGGAGATGGAGGGGCTGGGGAAAGCAAAAATAAAAGTGTCAGATTTGGAGGCTGCGAAGCTTAGCGGTTCACCCCGTGTAAATAGGCCAGTGACGGTTTCACATGCATGTCGGATGAGGTTTCAGGCACGTACCACAGCAAGCTGTTCTGCTGAAAGCTCATGCCAGCTCTGTGGTCAGCTTTTATCCCTCGTTATAATTCAGTCATGTATCTAAACACTGGCACTTTCTGCTTTATGTATTCTCGCACATTACAGACAAACATGGCTTTAATGCTAATTTTCTTAAGCCACTTAAGAAAACATGTGTCAACATGTTGTATATTCTTCAAATGATGAGTGTATTGTTATGAATATTAAGAATGTTTGTAAAGTCTTCAGAATTTAATCTGGCCATGGGAACAAAATTTGATTTCTTTAATATCTCAATGCAATGGTTACCAATGCAATTACATTTTAATGCATTGTATACACAGAAACACACGTCCAGAAGGATTTCGTCACTCAGTGGAAGGCATGCACAAAATAGAATTTAATTTCTGTATATGAAAGGCGTTGAAGTGTAACTGCATTCTGTCATTAAATGCTGAATGTAATACATTCATTCCACAACATTAATCAGGCTACACTTGCAGCCCCACACTTTCTCACTAGAGCAGAAGTTTCTGATCCTCCTCCTGGAAGGCCATTGTCCTGCAGATTTTAGCTCTAACTTGCCTCAACACACCTGTCTGGAAATTTCTAGTAGCTGAACTCTACAGGACAATTGCTCTCCAAGAGCACAATTGTACACCCTTGCACTAGAAATTTGAATGTGGACTTCTGTTTGACGTTGGTCTTTGCTTCACTTGGTTGATCTGAAAATGGTCTTCTGAACAGTGGTGTGCTCTAGCAAATCAAAGACTAAAGTTACTTGGAAAATTGGTCTGGTTTGATTCATGTGAACTCTGGCATTATTTGCAGTCAATACAAACACAATCCATGCTAAATTGCATCTGTGAGCCTCTGTTGTAGAGGTAGCCAAACCTGCTCCTGGAGGGCCACCATCCTGCCCATTTCTGTTCCAACCCTACGCACCTGCCCTTTATCATCAAGTGATCCTGAACACCTTTATTAGGTTCAGCTGTGTTTGTTTAGGGTTGGAGCTGAACTCTGCTGTAGCCCACCACGTTTTAGGAATATAATTCATTTCTCTGTGCAGCTTGACTCAGAATAAATTGCCTTTGGAGAATGAAACCGTGGCATCTTCTTGTCCTGAGTCCTGTTAAGTAATAGCGCTCATGGTGGTAGTCACATTGATAATTTGGGCAGATGCTGGGGATCTACTACTATACCAGGAGTGGCCAACGTTGGTCCAGCAGAGCCACACCCCTTGTCCAGATACCCACAGTTGCGGTCTTTGCACTTGACCACTTGACTACTCATATGACGTATTTCCTGTATTTGGTCCAAGTGTTCAAGTGAGCATGAAGACCACAAGTGTGAACTTTTCATTACCTGATGGGACACACTTATAGTGTTGTATAAACGCAAGTGTTTACAGAGCTTTATTTTTATTTTCAATGCTTTGCATTTTAAAATCAACTTCTAAATGTCTGTTCAGTAGTCCCTATAACAGATGACACAGTTTAATTTAGTGGTGCTTATAATTAAGTGATAAAAAGCAGTTGCAAATGTTGTACAAAATAATTATCACCACTACTCATTTGCACCAATAAAACTGGCAACTCTTTGTTTTACTAAAAAAATATATTTAATATCTAACTATTATTAATATTTAACATACATTGGAAAGGTTTCCGTGACCTCTCACGAGATATCGGCAAAAAGTCTCATGATTTATTTCCACAATATTATGCATGACGGGATACACTAAGCTACTGAGTGTGGATTTAGTGTGTGTTAAGAGCACTGCACTTTGGCGCTTTTAAGACCTGGGACAGTCTTGCGCACTTACTTCCTGTCGCACACACGTGCTCTCAAGTGGCCAAGACCGCAAGTGTGTGAGTATTTGGACAAGGGGACAGTCCTGCAGAGTTCAGCTTCAACCCTAATCAAACACACCTGAACCAGTTAATCAAGGGTCTAAGTGTTATTAGAAAGCTACAGGCAGGTGAGTTTTTGGCTAAGAATTCCAGTCTATCCACCATTGCAGGCTTGAGACTTGAATCTGTATAGTTCTCATTGATGTAGTACAACATCTCCTTCTTCAAGGTCTTAGTCAGGTCTGTGTCTTCCTGTGTGTTGAAGTGTTGAAGAACTGGCTTCACATAGGAGCCACTAACATAATCTTCTGAGAGTGCATCTGTGAAATCCAGCAGTGGGCCCAGTGTCTTGCTGACAGATTCCAGGACATCTATATCTTGCCAGGTTGGAATCGGATGCCTCGCCGCCTTGTCCTCAGAGAGGACCTGAGGTAAAGCCTTCTGCTGCTCTAAAATCCTGTTGACCATCATCTGTCTGGAACCACATCTTGTTTGGCATTCTGATACGAGTGGATGTGTCGGTAAATTTAGCTCCTTCTGGGCTTTTTCAAGAGCACCTCTGGCCTTCCAGCTGTGAGAAAAGTGACCTACCAGCTTCTTGCTGATACCTGTGCACGGCATTCATTGCTCATAAAACTGTTATTGTAACTGATTATTTACATATATTTACATGCATGTATAGTTTCTACATGCTTTCTTTAAAAGAGCTATAATAACCCATTTAATCTCAAAGAATATAATTTGTGAATTATGAGTGCAGCTCTAACTCCTTTACCTCATCAAAACCCAAACATAGGGACATATTATTAAACTGTTTTTGTAAACATATGCAAAATGTAAACATTTGGAAGAAAAAAAAGTTTCCAAAGAAATAAGTTTGCCTTACAAAACTAAAATGTTTGAGAAGTTACTGAACTTAGGAAAATGTTTATTATTTCAAGTCAAGTCATGGCATAGCAATAGCAACAGTAGTAAAAATGCATGGACATAACTTACCAATTGCAAGATGCTGCCTGTGGCCAAATTATTGCAACCTGGTCCACTTGTTGAGGGCGGCAGCCTTTACCATGTTCACCGCATTGTCTGTTGTTATACAGACGAGACGTCTCTCATCCAGGCCCCAAGCAGCCAATGCTTCTCTCATCCCCATTGCGATGTTCTCACTTGTATGATTTGCAAACAGCGACTTTTCAGCTGGAAGTCCTCATCAATAAAGTGTATGGTCAGACTTATGTAGGGCTCTGTTGTTCGGCTGGACCACAATGTTGCTGCATAATATTTTACTTGTGATAGCTCAGTTTCCACTTGTGCCTTGCATTTGCAGTACAGCTCTGGGATGGCAACTTGAGAAAAACAAGTGCGTGATGGTATAACATAACGCTTGTCAAGTGACGGATCATGTTTGTAAAACCCTGTTTGGTAACCGTGTTAACTGGTACCATGTCTTTCTGCCGCTTGGAACCCTTCTCATATGGGGTAACACTGGCAAACGCATCCGAAATATTTTTTTTTGCTTTGGACGGCAATGAGATCTGGCTTTGCACTCGTCATACAGAGCTTTGTGGTGCCTACTTAAATGATCAAACAAATGAA